GCCCTAATGCTACCGGTCCACATGCTGCAGCTTATTTTCATGCTGTCTTCTGAGCTGCGGCCGATTCCCCCAGATGGTGTTATCGTCGATGATGACTAGATAACTTCTTCCAGGTTGCGGTTCTCAATCACTACACTCCTCCAATGCCTAGGAGTCCAAGGTATTCGTTGCACGCACAATTCGTCTCCCAAAGCTAGCGGTAGTAGGCACCGTGATCAACGATCAAAATAACGCATTCGCTGCAGCATTCCTATTTCTTTGGCACTTTTGCTGGGTAGCATCCCATTTTATCCCTGGTCGCAGGAAAACCTGGGCTGGTGGTAGCAAGGTACTTGTCCTGCGATTGAACAAGCGCTGAACTAGACCTGTCCCGAAGTCGGTAGCTGGCACATTTTTTCTTTGACTTGGAGAAGTGATTTTATTGACTCATTTGCCACAGACTAAGACTTTTCGTACGATTGGCGAGGGCACGGACTGGTGAGGTGAAGGAAATCTCATTTCTCACTGAGGGGGAGGAATTCTGCGCTATTAAACTGCGGTACATTATCCGAGACCACCTGCTCAGGCATTCCATGTTTAGCGAATTGGCGCTGTAAGTTCTTCACGACGGCCTGCGTACTGGCTGTAGAGAGAGCATCAATGTCAAAGTAGTCACTGAAGTGATCCACCATAATTGGATGATACTTTCCTTCTTAAGTAAAAATATCCAAGTAACTTTCGACAAGGTTTTTCCGTGAAACCGCGGATTATCACCAGTTTTTTCTGTTGACACATGTGTTCTGCATGTAAAGCAGCTCGATAGATATTCGTGTATTTGACTGGTGATTCCTGCACAGAACATCAGCTCTCGCGCCATTGCTACACCGAGGTTTATTATCAGGTGCGCGAAATGGATGAGCTCCAGCATGGAACGCTGTATTGCTTTCGAAACAAAGATCTGGCTTCCTTTGAAAATTGTCTCTCCCTAGACGATACATCCGTCGCGGAAACTAAAAAAAGCGTCAGTTCCTAAGGTGGCTTCCGCTCAATACTGTCCGATCCAAAAGTTTGCATAACTCGTCTTCCTTTATGAAAGAGCGCAATTGCCGCAAACGTCCCTCAGAGAGAGCAATCAATTGTGTTACATGAAACAAATCAGTCTTCTTGTATTCCGTTAGCATATAGAAAGTACGTCCACAATAGTGTTAGCGAAGTGCAGTTTGGACCCCGGCTGATAGACGATATGCGGATCTTACTCATGAAAACGAAAATCATCCGCTGCATATGACGTGGAGCATTTGCTAGCGATGGATACCAAGGGCATGTGGTTAGTGTAGACGGTTATCTTATGGCTGAAGGTATAGTTGATGCAGGGTTCAACGGCCAACACCAGAATCTCCCTTAATCTGAGCGTAGTGACGCTCGGCCTACGTCAGTGTGCGACTGCGAATACCAATAGGCCTACTGCTTTGCATAAACATGGCTTTGATGTCGTATTGACTAGTGTCACACTGATTCTCGAGTGAAAGAGATGGACTGAAGTAAAGAGGGATGGGTGTGTCAGTAATCAACTCTCCGGAAGGGCATTGTTTTGCTTGGCACCCCAGTGCCAAGTTTCCACTTTATGAGTCAATTTTCGATTCGATATCATCAAGTCAGCCAATCGCGGCAAGAAACGACTTAGGTAATTGACTGTTTCGCTCAGCCTGCCAACAGTCTTTGCATAAGTGGGAGGAGGTATCTCGTTTATAACCGTTATTTTGGATCCGATTTCAATCCTGCCAAACTCAGCACATATCCATGAAATACTATTTCGGTTTCGCGTAGCTCGACTTTCTCACACTACAATTTGAATCTTTTTTTTGCTGAAACTTTGCAGAAGTTGCTGAAAGTGACGATCGTGGTCTTTTCGGGTAGCATCATAAAGTAGCACGTTATATGCTACACAAAACAATCCGGGTGGATAGTACAATGCTTGCAGCAGAAGCTTCTAAAATAGCCCGCTGAACCGAAGGGCAAACGAAGCAATCCAAAGTGCCCAAAAGGCGTTCTAAATGTGGTCAAGTAGCTCGATTCGCCATCTAGTGCGACATACCCAGCTGAAGCGGGATCGAAATTCGTGAACATTTTCGCCTTGCATATCGTCTAGTGTTAGTAAGGTGTATTACTCTCTAAGCGGTTTCGGGTCGATGTACACACAACAATCAGTGGATTTCTTAGTGACGACCTTCACTTGACTTAACCAAACTGTCAGTTAATCGACCTTGGCTGTGACAACCAAAAGAGATCAAACATCTCAAACAAGCCCAGGTAAGCTGAGCTTATTCCGGTAGATAATCCATAAACGTACCAACGTGAGTTGCGGTAGAAGTAGAATTGAATAGCATGGAAAAACCGGCAAGAGCAACAGCATCGTTATAGACGAACTCACATTCCCCGGTTCTACTGACCGGCTTGATTGTCACAAGCAATCTGAAACATGAATTTCCCTTTATAAGTCCAAATAGGAATAGCAGAAGAGGAAGATTGTGGGATGACACTGTCATTTCGTGTATCCTCGTCGCCCACGTACATGCAACTAACAATGGGTGCAAAATAATGTCACGTGAAATTAATAATTGGTCAAATGTTTTCCGATTGGTGCGCCGCACGCTACCGCGCTAGGCTTAGTGTCACTGTTAGCAATATGAGTAACAGAGAAGGTGGGCGGAAGAAAGGCAGGCATGTCCTTGATTAGTGGGGCCAGAATGAAAAACGGCGGAAAGGTAGCTGGATAGACGTCAGCAAGAGGCGCGGCAAGCAGTTTTGAATAGTTCGAGGTATGCCATTCTACCGCATTATCATATAAGGAATGATGCATTACTTTACAGCTTGATCCATTATGGCTACGCCGAATGAAACCTACCCCTGTGACCCTCTTTGATACCCTTACCAAAAAATATATTCACCAAACGCAGCAATGAAACCAAAAGGACCGACAAGGTATTGCACCAGAAACAACAATAATGAGGTAATAGTACGAAGGGCAAGAATGAAACAATAGGACAATTTTTTCCTTAACTGATACTTCGTATTATGGAACAGACTTTCAAGTAAAATACGTGCAATCCAATCAGGGATTAGGTTTCGAAGGGCCACACATTCATTTCAACGTTGAAACAGCTGTTAAAAGCAAATATGACGAATGAATTTCTTAATAATAACAAGTTGGATGCCTGATTAGCTCTTTTGTTACCCAACTCTATTGAGGAGTGGCAATAAGTTATTTTGTGTAATGACGAGAATTTTCCGCGTAACCTTACAGCCAAGCTTAACAAATCGAAATTTTGCTTTACAGTTACTTTTTTATTTTTCGGTTCCACGGATGGTCGTATTACTTTACTTGGACGGCTGGCTATAATTACATTTATTCCCACGCAATTACTTTCCGTCTTTTTATTAATTTTTATTGATAGAACACCAGTAAAACCCGTTTGGAAACTACTTGGCCAAAGTTTCTCCGATACCCGATAAGGTTATGCAGAATGAACATACGGCGTTGGTCTGTGTCTCGCACAGTCGAGAAATATATCATTTTTGAATTATGTATTTGTTTACTAAGTGCGTGTCTGTAGCCATCAAAAAATTTCAATGAAATGGTATTCGTCTTTGAGCGTTACTTGCGATGAAACAATCCGGTGTGACCGTACAAGATGGTGTTGCGACGCTTCTAGTGAGATGAAAAGTTCAACCATGAAAGAGCATAAGTGGAGCTATTCGCTCAACTGTGACGTCGTTGGTGAAGCCACTCGGAGAAAGGCAGTTTGACTTGTAATTGTATCCATGGTCTGGTGCGCACAAATAATGATGTATCTAGTTTAATGCAACAAAAGTACAATATGATAGTCCGGGGAAGATACCCGTGTCCAATTCCAAGGGAAACTCTACTAGTAAAAATCCAGCCATCCAAGAGACAAAGCGGTTGCGGACAAATGGGCCACACCCAAGCGGTTGACATAATGGGTTAACAGAGATGAGTTGTTTGCAACAATGAGGATCATGATGCACCGCGTAGTGGTTCGTAGTTTAGTAATAGTCAAAATATCCATAACAACAAGCTCGACTCAGACGAATACCGGACAAAACGCATTGGTAGAGCACTACCCCCACATGCGAGTGGAGAGAAGGAATGTCGATAATGCAAACCACCGCACAGACAACAAAATATGACGCATCGCTGTCACTGCAATGACCAAAGAATACCTGATGGGAGAGCCGTTTGTTAAGTGGGTTGCAGCAGAAGTGCATACCAACGAAGCCACTTACTTGCACGAGTCATCGATTTAGCGTCAAAAAAAAACGATGCGAAAGCAGTCTTTTTCTCCATCTTATTGCCCATTCATGATTCAATATACCCAACACGACAGCATGCATTTACCGACAACCTTTGCCAAACTCCAGCATTGAAGTATTTCTGTTATACCTCTTTGATAATGACACAACGCTTAGCGAAATTGTAAATCATAAAAGAGCCGGTGGCCGAAGAGTAAATTATGCTTTGTGAACCACAAGCAACCGGCGATTCCAATAAGCGTAGAAATGCGGGCGACCGTCGCAGTATCCCTAGCCCTCGCGTGCGACTGGTGGCGGTAACGCGTCAGCAAATTGCTGTTGCTCTTAGTAAGAGTAAAGCGGGTGGGCCTAACTGGAAACACCGTTTGATGTTCCAGGCGTAAATGTAACCAGCAGTTAGATAGAACATAGTGGTCCACAACATGTACGAGGACCAGAACCGATTGTGGTATTAAGCACATAAAGCCACAACCTTGTATCAGTAACCTCATAAATGCAGATGTTCAGGTGACACTAGCGATCAGAGGGTTGTGTATGGGTCTCAAATGGAGCGCTCTATGCACCAGTCCGGAGTAAAATTCACGTATGAGCAAAATCAACCAGTCCCTCCGCAGCGCTCAGACATAAGCGAGAGTAATGCGCCCAGAGAACACCCACGTCCTATAAACCACTAAAAGAGTAGAAGTGAATCAAGGGAGAAACACAATTGTAACGAAGTGCACGTACGACAGTGTACATAAAAGTTTCAGCTGTAGAGTAGGGGAAGAAAAAAGCCAGTTACAGCACAAATCGGAATATGATGTGGAAATTGTGGTGAGTATGCACTATAGTGTGCACGCCGTGAACTCTGGAGTACAGATTAAAATATCACAGCCGCCCATGTAATCGAATGGTATCTATCAGTTCGGTAAACTGAGCACAGTGCATGTGGAACTAGTCCGTAAAGTGGACATCAACTGAGCTTCCTTGGCCTCCTTGGCGCGATTGCGATTCTCGTAGTCCACTCTGTGGGGGAGAAAACAGAGAACAGATAGCAACGCTCTGCTGGAGGTAGATGTATAACATTTCCTAAGGTGAAGAAGCACGAGGATGGACGTAAAAGCAAAATGCATAGATGACTAAGCAGAAAACCGACAACGGCACAAATTGGCTTACTGCAGACGTCGTCAGTAGTAGTGTGCATGCACCACACAATCGGCCGATGCAAACCGGAGGATGTTTGGAAAAGGGGCGAAAACCGAAGAGAGAAATAAATTCAATATAAAGCTGCGGTCACTGGATTCAACAACCGGTACCTAATGTGCATAGTCCTAGACAGGGTAGAAGCGGGGAGGTAAAGCGCCTCCTACGCCATAGAGCGATGTCTGTGTTCAGACAACAGCTAGTTGTTGAACAGAGCCCTAAAGAGTAAACGAACGCCGTAACTTGGTATCTATCGAGAGTCAAGAATAAGTAAACCACCAATGGGACGTGATGAGCATCATAACATCGAAGATGAGTTAAAAATGCAACCTAACCTTAAATGAACCGATTAAAAAAGCACCACAGTGCACATAGAAGGGGTGATAGAACAGAACACATGCGGTGGAAATTGGAGAACGATTGTGCGTAAGGAAATCCCAAAGAAGAATGTGCCAATGAGCAGAAACACACAAACATGAGAACCAAGTACAAGTGATCTTCAGGGTGATTACTCGATTAGACTGATATTGAAAATTTTATCGTAAGTTCGAGAAATGAATGAAAAGGTGAAACAAAATCGGAAAAACATGAAGATAATCGAGTTATTCACCTGCTTTTGAAATTTATTAGTTTCCGACATATTCCGGTAGTTTGAGAATGTGAAATTATTTTAGCACGGATGCTGAGCTCAGAAATAGAAAAATGCAGTCATTACTAAGAAAATTAGTGACAGAAAGCAGGCAAGATAAGGACGTGTTGACTGCGAAGTAAAGTGCTTGAGCCCAATGAACAAGAATACAATATGAAAAGCGGTAATTCCGTATGTTGAAGGAGATCCGTGAAGGGAACAAATTTTAAGGTAAACCATATGACGCCATGGCTACTAAGTCGGACTGACGGCCGAATTTCGGAAGCATCCTGTAAATGCTGCTTATTTGAGGAGTAGCTGCATTACGGACGCACAAGCCGTGATGACGAACAAAGTATATTATCCCAGAAAACACCAGCCATCGAGGGAGATGGAAAGTACCTTGTGTATTGGACAAACGGAGAAACTGCATCGAGTTCAAAGAGTATGTCAACCATCGCCAAGGAATTATTGTGACCGGTATTGTTGGGGTCTGTAAATACACCAAAGCCACAGCGCTAAGAGCTGTCGACACCTCACAATAAGTGCGTGGTGTTTATCGACTGCAGCCGTGTCTTGGGTAGCGTGCGTTCAGGTATTACTGAAACAACACTTCTCAAGGTACGTCCATAGGATTCGTCGTAAAACACGCAAAACCACCTAGTTGAAGAGATTTTTGGCTGCTTAGGCGCACAAAGATTATTCACCGATGCATCTCAGCATGCAACAACCTAGAGAAAAGGTTAGTACATTAAAATAAGAAATCCCGATCCACTAAGTCTGATAAAATTGATGATAGAGCTCATGATGTGATACAGAGAAAATACCGACTTTCGATCATGCCGTCTGATGGATGAAGTGCTAATGAGAAGTGTAGTAGCCTCTGTAAAACTCCATTTTTCGAATCAACTGTTGTTAATAGATAAATGGGGATGGCGAAGGTACTTAAAAAGGTGCAGTAACATAGCAACAATTGTTCATAAACGGTTGGAAATCAAAACATGTTAGAACAGCTAACTATCACCAGTCAATACACAGAATCAGTACCTACTATAAGCGGAGATTCGTAAGCATCGGAGAGACAACAAGTTCGTTGAATGAGCCGTACATTGAAGCCTAGCCTGTGTTACACCAATTGCAAATAGAGTAAAGTGTGGATTGAACACATATTGTTTATTCGTGGTCAAAGCGTTTGTTCCCGTGACTGCTTAACTGAGAAAGCCAAGACCTAAAGAAAATGAGTTTCCAAGGTAAGTTATCAAGAAGGGTTAAGTGAAATAACTATAAAAAGCAGAGCTCACATGGTAAAAGAGTAAGAGTAAGATAAGGATCCCGTGTGTGCATAACGTTTACATACTATGTGCTACGAACCACTTAAACGATGCTATTCAGAGAGCGTGCTGTGTCACGAGGTTGAGACTGTATTGTGCAGGAAAATGCAAATTTCAATGATTCACAGTAATAGGTTAAAATAATCTGCGCAAAAGCGCACAATGTCTAACAATGTTCACCCGAAACTAAACTTTAACCAAAGCAGTTAGGATGTTTACTCCCAAAGTAAACTAGACACATGTCGTTTTGATGCAGAACATAAACAATACGTTAGCAAGCGAATAGCAACATTAAAGAGAGTCAGTTGGTGAAACGCTGTCCCGCTGCTACTACCGCCAAGTCCATCATCATATCGCGGATGCAATTCATGCAATGCCGATGCCTTAACACTGCGACGCAATCCTGAATGACCGCACACAGCGTCCGTTCAGTTGTCCGGTTGGTTATCAGGCGCTTCCCCAAAGCCTTTACTCTTCAGAACTCGTTTTCTGCCAAGTGTATCATGTAGGTGAAAGGGGGTAGAAACATCAGTTGTTGGGATGAGACAAAGATTCGCTTTAAATCGTCCGGAATATGGATTTTGGCGCTGTCGCTGATCAACCATAAGGCATTCATCTGCAATCTACGATAAAAGTGAAGAACTTTGCACCATTGCAATACCCACCGCTGATCTTTTAATGAACTATGTCTTAGGAATTCATTACCACTACTGACATTACATCTAACTGTGGACGTTCGCAATTAGGCTCTTCTTTAAGCGAGCCTATGTCTGTCGCAGATGAAGTTTTAATTCACTTTCATCGATAAAAATGTATTTTTCCTTGTTTTGTGTTGCATGTGTTCATAAGTTGGGGGCACCTGTTGGCCGGGCTGCGATCATTATAGCAGTGCTGAAGCAGTCGACCTCGTACAGTCACTTCGAAAGCATGGCCTTCAGCTTACTGAGAGGATTGAAAAGAGCAGATACAGCCAGATTAATCCATTTCTCCTCCAGCTGCCACTGTGTTTGTGTCAAAATGTCATGCAACGGCCTTTTTGATCTGTTGTTCACTAGTCAACATTCGGGTAAGCTGCAATACGCAGAGTGCAACAACAAAAAAGGGGAAAAAAGGAAGTCAATGGAAGAGTTAGGTGGGTTTGTGTGTTATGTGGACAGAAAGCTTCCCGGTTGCCTAGGCCGAGGAAGAGAACTGACTAAAGGGACCCCACCCCGAGTCTTTGGTCATAAAGTCCTGACCCGTAAGAAAGCGGGGCGATTCACGCAACTTGCGGAATAGGACCGTGGACAGCCAGATGTGTTCGGTTGCAGTTCACAAAGAACCCGGTGGCCAGCAAGGCTGTTCATCCGCCCTCCGTTAGGTACTCACCTCTGGTTACAGGAGTGGCCAGTGACACTGTAGCCGGTCACATTGGTTCTGACACAGTGCCGTAGGAGCTTTTGTGGTATTTGATGGAGAACTAGGTGACCAGGCTAGAACTCCCCATGCCCTGAGACGTTGCTGCTGATCGTTCGTGACTGCTTATTCATCGCGCCTGCAAAGCAAACGAGACCTATTCGCAGTTACCTCAACAAGGAAGACATTCCCCAATCAGCAACCTGGGAACGCGCCCGATAGCGTACAGATCTCTATTATTTCCTCCAATGTTGCACTGAATAACAGCATCTTTGCGTCTGTATGTATTGGCTGTTTCACGCTATGCCATCGTTGACTTCAGTTTTCTAGTGGATAGTTTTCCCGTCAACAAACACAAGTCTGGTGAAAATCGGCTTTTGCGCCAATGCTGACGGGAAAACGTGTCTTCTCTATGTTCTTGTTCATTTTGACTGTTTCGTGAAGTGCAGCCGTGTCGATGAACAGCTATGAAGAAAGGATTCCGTAAAGTTTGTACTGGCAAAACCGGTGAGAACTTTCTGTAAAAATGTCATAAATCCTGTTCCAGAACTCTTCGTAAGATCCAGCATATCCGGCTTCAAGTACAAACGCCAAACGTGGTTCGGAAACGTCCAGTTTGATTTGAAAAACGTCCTAGCTAAATTTATAATCGTTCGGGTTGAAGATAGCATATGGGTCTATGAGCGTTTGGAAAAGTGAAATGGACAAAGTAGTCAGAAGTCGGAATATCAGAATGAAAGAGGGCCTGTCAAACTGGGTTCGGTGAAAAATAGCTCCACTTTCGCACGCGCCGGTGGCGTCAGTCATCAGTAACAGCTCGGCATAGGCATTCCGAAACGGTTATGTTATAGCAATAAACCGCACCCAGGCTAGCTCTGTGTCTAAACAAAATGTTAATCTTCAGGCTTCGGTTGCTGAAGTTCTGACATCTGACAAAATCCAAATCCCGATACACCTGATTGAACCATTGACACATATGGAAGGAGGATTCTGTGAGTACAAAAGCACTGATGGGACGAAACGAAACCCAAATATCTAATGGTACCTGTCTCCAGCCCACACTGCTTGTGATGCGATTTACATGACGAAGCAAGTGGCTAGCTTGCCGCAAGCGAACAGAGCAATTGATTGGACGTCTACGCGTATTTCGTATATGCGCTGACTGGTTCATGAGTGACTAAGCTGGAGCGGGTTTGTTTAACTGATTTAAGTGATGCAGAGGCGTCGTAAGTTATAGAAGTGACCTAGTTATTTACATTGCGGATTCCACATGCCGGTTATGCTGTCAATTTTGCTGAGTTTGCTTTGTCGAATAAAATATTTGTTCCTGAAGGACCGAGTTCTGCGACACTGCTTAGGCAGCTGAAGGGAGTTACTCTCACTCTCTCTTCAGGGTTGACCAAGTCGAATTTCTAAGAAAGCAGTGATATAATAAATGGTTGGAAGATGTAGTAAGCATAAAGGGAAATGTCGGCGGCGATGTAGAATAAAAACGGTAAATACTGATAGTATTTAAATATACATAAGTGGCCAAAGACGAGCCACTAACGGTTCATTGTTCAGTAGCCTACGAGATGAGTTAGCAGATGTACGGTATCAGTCATGTGGTCAGTGTGCAGCGTGTTGCTGCACCCACAACTGACTTGATGGCGAATCATTCATGGAATAGCAGACAGTACATAAGTGTACCGCACGGTCGCCAAACCAAGTTAGTCCAGAGCATCAGACATAAAAAATCAATAGCGCGTTCAAGTAAACCCATTAGGAGATAAGCTCAGTGGAACCACTAAGAATGTGAACGAATACATTTGCCTCAATTATCACCAGAGCGATCAAGATTCGCGATTATTATGTGAACACGCATCAAGACAGACATAAACACACGCCTGAAGATGCGCAAGACATGGATCACATAGGGTACGGGTATAGACCGTAGATCCATTGGGAACCTGCATTCCAGCCACATGTTCCTTGGTCCATTACACAGACTGTTTAGCTCCCAGTGACGGGATTTCGCTCTGCATGTATGTTCATCCCTGCACCGACGCCGCATCGAGTCGGACTAAATCGGTGACTGATGGTGTATTACATGAAGAATTAACAAAGCACATAATAATCGTGATGAAGTTTCGTACATCACGACCATCCTCAGGGCTCTGCGCGCAAACAGTAGCGTGGTCCCGATGCAAATATCAAGTCACGTAGGTAAAACTAGCTTGCCAAATACCTCTTTACTTTCACTTCCGGATTATCGAACAAAAAAACCCAAAGGGTATGTAATTTAGTTAACGTAAGCGCGTGCTGGTCTAGCACTCCTGCTATGCGGTTACCGGTACTGGGAGGCTGGGAAGGCACGTGTCGCGCCATACCAATTCAGCCTGAATACACTTGAATGACTGACGTCTACATGTAGCTTAGCCCCGAGATACCTGGTCCGGCTGAACTCAAAGCAGTGACGACAAAGCGTCTACCTATCTAATGCAATCAGCTCGGTGAGACCCGTGCTGTGCCGTGGAAGTATTAATTGCGTGCATTGCGCAATTCACTGGGTGAGTGATCATCATCTCCAACCTCTTCATTCAGTCTACGCTCACTCGGATCGCATTAATTTGCCCCATTTTCTGAGGCAACTTGCACGAAAAACTCCCCAACGATAATGATACGATCAACCTTAGCTGTTTCTTACAGCTATCGTGTTCAAACCTACGCGTACAAACTTGTCACCTTTGGACTACTCGATTAACTGTGCCCAACTGTTTGATAGAGCATCTTTAGAGCTACCCACCAACTCCGGAAGCGCTCTTATACAGCAGTTTTCAGGGGAGTTATAGATCAATTTATAATCCATTGCTTACTCATTATCTGAACCCGTAGTTCACATACAGCTTGGGTTTTTCAACTTTCACCGATTTCAGCAACTACGCCAATCAATCAACCGACCAATTTGTCCCTTCAGCCATGTGTGCTCGCTGATAGACATACGCGCCCAAATTTGCGACAGACAGCGTTTCAGTGCTGACCTTGGCAGCCTACATCCGCAACGCGCTAGTGTTTTGCCAAGCAACTCGCTATCATTGTTTCAATTAACATACTTCACCTACTTTGATGCACCAACGGTTGAGAAACAAATTGATCGCGTCACGGCTGCAGCTGACGAACCAATCAGAACGGTGCGCCGTCCGATTTTTCTTTCTTCACTACTTAATCATCACTCAGGTAGCTGGACTTCATTGCCCTCAATACTACTAACCACTAGACTATCCTGAGCTTAGCTTTTTGTTCCATTACCGCAATTTTTAACCTGCAAGTAATCCAAAATTAATCCTAATTCATTATGGGTCCAACAAAGCCCAATCGCACTCTACGGACAAAGAGAACTGTTTGATCCGCAGCACGAATCACGTTTAAGAAACAAAGCAAGAATTGAACCACAAGTTTGCTCCACTTCAAAAGTTAAACTTATCTCAGAGCTCACTGATAAAATTGACTCCTTGAAATCGCA